GTCCCTCCATCAGTGTAATTAAATGCAAAGACTTTCTTCTCTAAATCAATGGCAGCAGTTGCAAAGCACATTTTGCTGGCAGTGATGTCATCTTTGAGATCAACACAATGCTCTAGCTTGATGGTGGCATTAAAATCTGGAGGTAGCTCCTCTGGTAGTGCAATATCATATATAGCACTGACAATAGTACAGCCATCAGGTAGAGTAAAAGGACCACAGAATATAGTGCGAACAATAATGGTTGACTTCTCTTCAGTGAGAGCTGGTACAATCAACTCATAACCATAATCTGCACTTTCAATTGTGGATTCATTTCCTCCTTCTATTGAATGCTGTTGTAACTCAATAGTGATGCAAGTACCTAATAATAAATTTAAACTATAAACAGGCAGATATCATGTGAAAGGACAAAATTTAGCAGTACCACTGAAACATACTATAATAATTACAATACTATTACCTTTCAGCATGTCTTCAATTTGTTTGATGAACCATTGTACCACTTGATTACTATCAGTTTTACCAGTCTTATCCTTTGAAGACTTGTGTATATTATAACTATGATACCCAATGAATCCAATATCAATAGGAACAGTCACTGCTAATGAAATCCCAGCTAGGGCCACACCAGCAACACGTGCTCCAGTACGTAAAGCAATAGCTCCAACCTCAGCAGCTGATTCTACTCCTGCAACAGCAATACTCATACCAGCCCTACCCAGGTTAGCCAAACTCTGGGCTCCTCCAGCTACAACTCCCACCATTTCTCCACTGCTAAGAGCAGACTCAGTACACTTTACCATAGCAGCACTATACTTCATGGCAATTTCATTGATACTAATACTCAATTGCTGATCAAGGCTAATGTGCTCTTGGGCTGATTTCAGTTGTTTAATTTCTAAAATAGTTCTAGTGATAAATGCTCCAACCCCTCCTAATGTGGCACTAGCCCCAATCGCACCGCCAGCAACTGATAGGCCTACTGATGCACCAAGTGTGACTGGAATCAGAGCAAGACCAAGAACCATCATCCCACCTCCTATCACTAGACTGGCTGATGATGCAGCTATTCTGGCTATCCTCTCATTGTAGACTATGGACAATATACTATCTTTATTTTCTGATATGACACTGATGGTCTCAGAACGTATTGGATGCCACATAGAGCGATATAGCTCCAGCTGCTTCTTGTAGTACTCTTTCTCTGCTCTATACAAAATAATAACTTGAATATAAATTGCAAATAGCAAAAAACAGAAAAAAAAGAAAGAGTATTCAGCTAACCTTAAGTTGAAAGGTATATATGGTGTAGGTAGAACAAACTTGTCATTAAATTTATTAATGTACATGCAGAAAACCTTCATATCATCTCTTCTGTTACATTCTTTTTCAATTTCCTCGAAGCATTTTTGTATGCTGGCCCCCTCCTTCAGGTTATTTGTAACAGTGTCTAAAACCACACTGCTATTCTCCTGGATTACTGACGTTATGAGAAGAATTAAATTTTTAGAAGGAACAGACGAAATTTGAAGTTTTTCTTTGGGCTCCTTGTCATGGGCAAAATGAAAGTAATAGATTTTTGGTAATTGAGCAAAAGGAGACTGATCATCTTGGAGGCACCCAAAAATTTCGTCAGCATCAATTAGTTCATTGTTGCAATCATAAAGGTGTCTGGTCTTGCCCTTACAAAGGAAAACGAGAGCAAATGTGGCCAACTGAGAGTGATCAATGTGATGAAGCACTTCCAGTAGAGTGTTGATCGATTGAGAACTGAGCGAGTTGAAATAGAGGGTACAAAACCCAAGGGTGTTAAGGGCTTTATTGATTTTGTGAGCATCATCATTAATCGTCTTAGTCCCATCCTTCTCAACTTCAACTTCACCATGATTATCAATAATGAT